CGATTCTGACAAGGTTAATATAACCACCGTAACATCCTGCAAGAGATGAGCTTCTCACGTAACTTCCAAGTGCATTATTTTGCTGCCCCGTTGTCGTACACAGAATCTGCTTTGATGTTCATTAACTGCACAGAAAATTCATGTTTACAAAAGTAGGTAATATGGTATATATCATACTGTAAAAAGTAGTTAATTTCTCTGTCATCTAATTTAAATATATTGTCACGTATAGGGTAGTAGGCGCGACGAAATTGACGGGTTCTAGTTCGGATGATTGGATTTACGAGCACTTGGTCACAAGTTCTCTTAATCACACTTAAATACAGCGCTATCGCTGATTTACACACACGTCCTCTCCTGGTACCACAACTGAAACGCAGGAACTATAACAGTCTCACTGACTCACACGCTCTAAGTATTATACACGAATGAATGATCACACATCAAGTTTTCAAAGGTCAACTTCTTATTCAGCTTACGCGACGAACTTTCCGTGGCTATCTTCCACCGAGAACTCAGAACTGAACTCGTAGCGCCTTTAGCCTTCACGATAATTCCTTTGCACGGACCCCACTGAAAACATCATCTCCCATTATTTTGGATGCATGTTTACAGTTGCTTTGTCAGGCAACAGAATTCCTATAGATCCATGCTTTTGCTCGGCACGGACACCATAGAAAACAGTTTCCCTTCTATTGTTGCCTGTATTCGTGTTTACAGAGCTGATTTCTGACAATGCGTTGATGAAATCCGTTATAATATATTTATTGGCAATTATTTATAATGAATATATCAATAATTTCTACCATAAAATATAAACATATGTGTGTCCTCGGTATCATTTTATACGAAAGGTCTATCATCAAGAAAACGTATACGTTCAGTTATAGCTTCAGGCTGAGTGAAATGCTAGGTTAGGGAGGAGGAGGGTGTGATAGTGCGCTGCCTTCCCAGAGCTATCATACGTGTACATCTCTGGAGATAGTGATACATGAATTAGGGAACTAGAGTGGAATAATGACAAGCGGGAGAAAACCAGAGAAGCTCCGAGATATACCTGATCCTGTCCACAAAGAATCTCCAGTAAAATCACATAGGACTGAACCCGAGTCTTCGTGGTCAGAGAACAGTAACTAATCTCCTGAGCTAGTATGGGTTATACCGAACGAATATCAACCAAAATTAAATTCCTCCAACTATTTCTCCGAGCACCACTTTCTAAAGCTTTTCATTAATTCCGGAAATGAAATATACGGACAGACGGACGGATATGACATATCCATCATGCACGCATTCTAACCACATAAGAAGTGTGCATATTTATACTTCTGTATAATGTGGACCTTTTCCGAATATTTTCAGGGAAATGTAACTCATTTACATGAGGTGAAGAAAGCTATCTGTGCCCGTGTGTAAAGGTCAGGTCATGAAGAGGTAGGACGAAACGCAGATGACAATAGATGAGGACAAGTAGCCCTGAGAGACGTACATACTCCGGCAACGTTATTGCAGGGGGAGAGGACCGCAACCCATAGTTGGACACGGAGAATTATTCTTTAGTTCTCTTATACCTGTAATTAATATTTCGTATTATTTGTCAAAACGTCACCTACGAGATCAAGAAAAAGCACTGTTACCGCGCCTTAATCTCAGCTGTTTCAAGGCAAGTACCTCTGATGATGGTTTATTTAAACCGAAAAATGTAAGGCAAGAATAATAAAAGTTATGTGACCTCTACTGCCGCATTGGACGGAAAATTCTATCAACTTTCCTATTATAATAATATTAAAGGAAGAAAGAAGAGATCGTAACATTATTTATATTGCGCCATATTATTTTTGAATAAGTTGGATTCCTTTCATTGTAACTCTAAATAATCCTATAATATTTTCTTTGGCTCTTTAACAATGCATAAAAACATACAACGTCGAATCAGATGCGGCTATGATCGTGAATATTGTGTAAGTAAATATTAAGAAAGGGTGGCGTGGCCTATTTGAAGGTACTATCCTGCAATATGAACAGGGAGACTTAAGGGAAAACACAAAATAATTAAAAGCAAGACAGCTGATTGCGTGGCCGGAACTCAGACCACGTAAAATACAAATACAAATCTACAGCGTTAACCTACACAGACCTCCAAGGCCTTTTCCAGAATATGTTGAGTACCTTCATTATTCTGAGTTTTTTGTACGGTATAATAACTGCGAACCTAGCTTATAACTGAAATTTAACATGTTTTTTAACTGGATTCAATTAAATGTTTAACTATAATTATGAAGGCCTCGCATATATGTACAAGAAAGACGTTTTAAAAATTCTTTGTCATGAAGGGAAGGATTTCATAATCATTTTGTGAGGGTGTCTGAGATGTTCCTATGTAATGGTATTGTTATACTGACTGGGATGTATTCTATTTATTCACTCCTGCAGGCGGTAAAGTATCTGGAACGCTATGAGACTATTTCATTACTCATACCTTCCAATTTGAACTTCACGAACAAACTTGCCTTCATCAGCCTTTCAGAAAAATTGTGGCTTATCAGAAGGGAAGCTCGCATCGTTTGGAATTGAAAATATATTCAGACTTTATTAAATAGCTTCGAATTCACCGTCGACAGATCTATAGGGCACCACAAGTGGTGCTATTCTGAGGTGGAATGGACCTCCGCCCGACCACAACGCTCGCAGTGTTGATAAAAATAACAGAGATTTGACTCTCGAACCACATACTGCATGTTCACGTTTATACTTGTCGACTCTGAAAATTGATGGTTTTAATGGAAAAGTTTGCACAGCGACAACACAACTGACTTGTATTTGGGAGTTATCCGGTTCGAACTCGGCCGAAGATAGTTTTCCTAAAGTGTTTCGTAGATTTCCTTAACCCTTCCGGATGGAACACTGAATAGAATTTTCATACGAGCCATTATCACCTGTTCAAATGATACCGCATATAATTAATTCGTTTAATTTAAAGCTAAGAACCTTCTCAGTTACTACACAGCTGTTACATAATTTAGAAACCAACACAGCTCAGCCCTTACCATTCAGTAGAGCCATATCCCTAAAATAAAATAGGAAAATCTCCCATTCATCTCCGGTTCACTGCCTGTGATAGGCTAAGTGCTACACAATATCGAATTCCGCTGTCGAATATATAGAAGCGTTCCTGTTTCGTGTTTGAGACGTCCTTTGATCTGACCTAAGCAAGAAGACCAGCTATTCAGACTGAGTTTTTTTTGTGTTTTTCCTCAGTTCTCAGACCTTAAAGCAGGTCATATCGCCTTGTTGCAGCCAAAAGAGCGCCTTTGACGAAGCCAACAACAGTCAGTAGATAACACTGGACCTTTACAATGTCAGACGTAAGATATGGAGTAATGCAAAATAATAGCCCTATATATATATAGGGCTATTATTTTGCATTACTCCATATCTTACGTCTGACATTGTAAAGGTCCAGTGTTATCTACTGACTGTTGTTGGCTTCGTCAAAGGCGCTCTTTTGGCTGCAAGAAGGCGATATGACCTGCTTTAAGGTCTGAGAACTGAGGAAAAACACAAAAAAAACTCAGTCTGAATAGCTGGTCTTCTTGCTTAGGTCAGATCAAAGGACGTCTCAAACACGAAACAGGAACGCTTCTATATATTCGACAGCGNTTCGAATAAAAGCCAAGTGTCAGCAAATTGACGTATAGATTTATATTACAGAATCTCCAATTTGATTTCGAATAACCCCAAGTCTCGTATCGGAAAAAGTAACGTCTGGTTTAATATGACATAACTTCAACATTATTTTTAATAACCCCAAGTCTTGCATAAAAAATGACACTTAACTTCATTCAACAGAATCTTCACTTCATTTTCGAGTAACCACGGGTTTTGCAGCGGAAACAATTGCCATCTAAATTCATACGACAGAATCTCCATCTTATTTTTGAACAACCTCAGGTCCTGTATTGAAAAAATTGACGACTAATTTCATACGACACTAGCTTAACTTCACTTTGTCGTAGTGTAATACCAAGTCCTGTAACAAGAACACTGATTTGTAGGTTCGTGCAACACAATATTTCCTGCGTCTTCAAATAATTTCACAGCATATGTTGAAAATATTGACACCTAATTTCATACTCTTTTACTCACCACTACGCTTTCTCGCAACCCCACTTCTTGTACCGGAAATAGGGACATATGAATTCGTACGACATACCACGTAATATCCACTTTGTTTTCAGAGACCGGAAACAAATTATCTCTGTCCGAACTACTGTCGGTTAATAGCGCGAAACAATTCATGTTCTCTATCTTTCCTATCGTCCATAATTCACAGAGACCATCATAAAAGAAGCAATATCCCCACAAGTTCCACTACAACTGTACTGTCGAAACATGGCATGACATTGATGAACATCAAGGCATAACAGTTAGAAAACGATTCTTCGTAACATATGTGCCGGCTATCAAAACTGAGAATTCCTCAGCCTCTCCAGGAAATAGGAAAGTATTTCATTTAGGCCTCATTCAAAAGGCTAAGTACTGTAAAAGTTCATAAACAACGGTTGAAGAAATAAGTATTTAAATTACACGTAAATGACTATAGATATAATTTCAACTCATAGAATAACGCAAATTATTTTTCAGAAGGTGAGAATCGTTCACCTTGTCAAGAAATTAACTTACGTTTATTGAATCCAAATTTTCATTATTCTTGCAAAGTTCACAAGAATCCATCGACGGATAATTTCATAAGTACAATTGTTGGCAACCTAGATAAAAATGTCTAAGTTGGTAAGACAGCAACTCATACTTAGTGTGTGTCCGAAAGTCAATACACTTACGTTAATGTGACTGTAGTGCCTGCAAATCATGCGTCTTTCACTTTGGCCCACAATTCATTACGCGTACTATGATACTAACGATTGTCATTGGAAACCCACAGCAAGTGTAGAACTTCAAACTACCTAACGTGATAGTGCGCCATTCAACGCTTTACTCACCGAGCAGCAGAGCGAGGCTGAGTAGTAGCACCTCAGGAACCATCCTGTCTGACTACCGCATGACTTCCGAACAGCCGCCTAGATCCACACTGACGACACACCAGCCCTCGCAATGTCACCGCGTACACAGACCAACCGCCCGAGGCGCATGCGTACCTCAATACCGTCACGGCGCTTTGGCGTCGTACCACTCCAGAGCGGTCGCAGGTTCATGTCTCGAGCATAACAGGAATGTGGCTTTACATTGGAGAAGGGTAAGTGGGTGATTACTCATGTAATAGTCATAGAGAACGCTGGCTTAATGGTAACGTCTGCTTTTCCGTGTTCTTGTTTAAACCCAGGTGACTAGGTAGGTAATTTAATGGCATTGTACCATGTTATGTAGCTTAGAGTCATGGCTTTAAGATGCATATGAAGAATGGTTGGAGATGGCGGAAGATAAGCGGTACTGATGTATTTGAAAACTGTCCCCCCACCCTTTTATTGTTCTTCGTGGGGTGAAACTGAGTCCATCTGGTACTGCGGCCACTACTGGTCGTGGTTGAGGTGAGCACTTTCCGAGGGACCCAAATGAGTAGGTGGCTTCCCCCGCTCAGCTGATGACGGAAACAGATCCAGTTTCAGAAACGCTGTGTTTTATAGTTTCTAGAATATCGGTCGATAGATACGGTCCAAAAATCTAGTAATTCTGAGTGTTTTACGCCGTTGTCAGAACCATTTAGAATGCACACATAAGTTTTTTTGGGATACATTCATATTCTACAGATTTATAAGTACGACCTCCTTGAAACATGTCACGCTGTCAGGTTTCAGAAAAGTTGAATTTTCTGTACAGCGTAAAAGGCTGAGCCTCTCTGAGCTCTGGAACCATAGAGTTTAGTGATACTTTTTATAATATTATTTTGTTTCGGGTATTCGGTCTTGTAACGTTACAGAACGTAAAATATGAGACGTAATATCCACAAAAAATAAAATTTCCTGAACCTAAAATGTACATGTTTCCATAATATTCACCGATTATAATTTTTTCCCCGGGAAACACCACACAATTCTCTCTTTAGTTCTGATTAAATAAAACAGAAATTTCAAAATTTACCAAACCAACTGATCCAAAGACGCTGGCGCAAATCACTTAATACCTTTGAAGTTAAACTAAATATCTTACAATAATCTCTAAAATTTCTTCAAATTTAGCAGATATTAAGTAGAATCTACTTGGAATCAACAGCGAAAATTTGAAATGATATTCAAGTTGAAGTGAAAATTGTTGACACTCTGGTGGCAGAATCTGAAGTTTCAGCATCACTTACGAGAAATTCTGCGAGTGATAGTATCCTGAGGGAGTTTCAACTGCACTTTCCAGCCTAACAATTTATCAGCAACAACTAAATATTAAATTCAGGATAGCTTCCTACAATTCACTTATATGCTCGTATTGTATTGTCACGTGTATGTGACTAAAGACGTGGTTCGGATTGGTAATTAGATTTATTAACTGCTTACAGGTCGTAACTACAAGTAATTATTACAATATTGCTGCTTTACACAATTTACAATCACTCCACATTAATCTTCTCAGTCTGTTTCCACTAGTCTTCACTATTCTTTTCCTGGAAACGGATTTATATCAAAGGAACTGTAAAATTCTCACTAAATTACACGCTCCCAATATCGATGTACTACAGCACATGTAACGTCACACATTAAGTCTTCTAATTCTTCTTCTGGCCACACTGCTGTTCCCTTGGAACTTTGGAACTCAAGTCCAGTCAATTCCCATTCCAGTGTTCTCTCATATCCTCTCGATACGGACTACGCACAGGAAATACAGTCCCTCTTTTGTTGCATGGCATAGACCACACAGAAAATATATGTCACGTGTCAGGCTACTCGTTCATTGGTCCGTTAGCAGGGCTGAGCGTGGCGCGGACGACATTGAAAACACTGCATCATTTATTGTTGCGTGTAGGATCGTGTTTAGTGAGCTGTTGCCTGGCAAAGCGTTCATTAAATCAGTTACAGTATACAAATTTTCAGACTAGGCCTGTAATAATAGTTGTTGTCTTACACGAATGTGAAACTTTGTATCCCAATTTAAACGAAGGAGCAAATTGAGAGCGCCTGAGAGCAAAGTGCCGAGGAAGAAATGTGAACTTAAAGAGGACGACTTAACAAGAACTGAAAAAACTTACATACTGAAGAATTCAGTGCTAATACTCTTCACCTGTTCTTATCGGGGTGATAAAATAAAGAAGGGTGAAATGAACAGGAAATGTTGAACGCATGAAGGAAATTGGAAATTCATCTGAATTTTGGTCTAAGAACCAAATAGACCATTATGGAGACCTGGGTTACACAGGAGATTTTTATTGGAATAGGTCTTAAAAATTATGCTGTGAATGTATTGACTGTGTCCTGTGGTCTCAGGCAGGGTTTAGGGGTTCATTTTATTCATATGGTTATAAAGCTTATGCTTCCATAAAAGAAATTAATTTCTTGACTTTATTCAAACTATCAAATTCTTTAAGAAACACCCTATAGGTGTAATTGTCATATACACGAGATTACAATCCGTAGAACCTATCAATTGTTCATTTCTGTGTGATGAAATTCAGGCTACAAGCAACTTCGAGTATTTGAAATTATCTGCACATCCTCCAGGTTAAGTGACCTCTTTTCTGTGGCGCGACCTCCATAAGCAATCCCTCAATTTTTATACACTGAAATAGGCGTTTTTTTCATGCTTTCTGCCTGCATTACCTGCCCCATTACCACATTGTCCACAGAGAATCCCACATTAGCTGTCTAGTATTGAACCCGAACCTTCGAAGTGACACACCTACAAACAGCCGGCTGAAATATGATAAGAACTAGAGCGGACAGATACAAATCATCTGATTAGAGACATCGTAACGTCTAAATGAACAAAGAAAATACAGTTAATTCTTTGGAAATACACCCTTACATTTTGGAGGTAATTATTTAAAAAATATTTACCCAATTCCAAGAATCCGTCAAGTAGCTTAGCACTCAGAGGGGTTCATAACACCAACACACAATTCAACAGACGACTGCGACATCTAGGGTAACATTGAAAGATGGGAGATCTGCCCCGGGTTCATCGGCACATTCGGACAGAAAGAAGGGATAAAATATAAATGCAGAAGTAAAGAGGAAGAAAAGAAAAATAATAAACAGAGGAATGATGAAACGTAGGAAGACGGAAAAATAACGACAACAAAGAAAAAAGAAATACAGGAAAAAGAAGGGGAAAAGAAAAGAAGGGGGAACAAAGCATTACATACTTAATGGGTGAAATAAAGGAGTGAAGAAAGAAAGATAAAGGAAGAAATTGAAATGAAGATAATAAGTCGCCGGAACAACCTTCTAGGCCGCACCATGGCTCAAGCGGTTAGTCGCGGCTTCCCACCGCGGCGGCCCGGGTTCGATCTCGGGTCTCGTCAAGTGGGATTTGTGGTGGACAAAGTGGCTCTGGGGCAGGTTTTCTCCTAGTACTTCGGTTTCTTCTGCCAATCTTCATTCCACCAACTGCTCCAAAATCACCCTCATTATCACCTGGGGCTTGTACAATAGGCCAGAAGTGGCCGCAGTACAAGGGACTTAGTCCCACCTCACTAGCAGTAAAAAAACAGACTTCGTGGGAAGATAGGTGAACAACAAAGTGTAAAGGATTAGGAAGGAAATGGTCGTGGTTTAGTCGGGTACCATCCCGAAATTTTCTTAAATGGAATGAGGGAAATCATGAAAAACCTCACTCAGGATAGCCAATGTCCAGATCGAACTTTGAACCGAGCTACTCCAAATATACATAGAGATTAAGATCTAAAATTTGTGACAACTCTATATTAGTATAGATATTATATTTCTGGACAATATTCATCGTCTTGTCTTTATCTAAAAACCGTCCTGTTTATTTTCCAATACACAACGTTTCGGAGACTGCATTCTGTCTCCGTCTGTCTCGGTCTCCGGAGGCAGAATCCAGTCTCCGAAAAGTTGTGTTTTGAAAAATAAACAGGACGGTTTTAGATAAAGACAATAAGATGAATAGTGTCCAAAAACATAATATTTGTAATACACGGATATTGTTACCGCTACATTAATCAGTTCTGTGAACCGTGAACCGGAAATGTGGGGAACAAATCAATGGCGACCTGATTTCACCCAGAGGTTCTGACACGAATTGTGAACACCTTGGTGAGAATAACCCGTTACAGATTAAATTCGATCAAAATGAATGCAGCTATACTAACAACTGCACCATTGTTATGACACCGAGGTGAGCGCAGTAAAGCTGACTGGAGTTCTGCAGTGCTGCAGCATCCATGTGTGGTTCGCCCTGAGCAGCCGATACACCGTCCGTAAGCTAACTGAAGTCTTGTAGTGCTGCAGCATCCACGTGTGGGTCGCGCTGAGCAGCCGATACACCGTCCGTAAGCTGAATGGAGTCTTGCAGTGCTGCAGCATCCACGTGTGGTTCGCCCTGAGCAGCCGATACACCGTCCGTAAGCTGAATGGAGTCTTGCAGTGCTGCAGCATCCACGTGTGGTTCGCCCTGAGCAGCCGATACACCGTCCGTAAGCTGACTGAAGTCTTGTAGTGCTGCAGCATCCACGTGTGGGTCGCGCTGAGCAGCCGATACGCCGTCCGTAAGCTGAATGGAGTCTTGCAGTGCTGCAGCATCCACGTGTGGGTCACACTGAGCAGCCGATACACCGTCCGTAAGCTAACTGAAGTCTTGTAGTGCTGCAGCATCCACGTGTGGGTCGCGCTGAGCAGCCGATACACCGTCCGTAAGCTGAATGGAGTCTTGCAGTGCTGCAGCATCCACGTGTGGGTCACACTGAGCAGCCGATACACCGTCCGTAAGCTAACTGAAGTCTTGTAGTGCTGCAGCATCCACGTGTGGGTCGCGCTGAGCAGCCGATACACCGTCCGTAAGCTGAATGGAGTCTTGCAGTGCTGCAGCATCCACGTGTGGTTCGCGCTGAGCAGCCGATACACCGTCCGTAAGCTGACTGGAGTCTTGCAGTGCTGCAGCATCCACGTGTGGGTCACACTGAGCAGCCGATACAC